CCATCTCCATCTCCATCTCCATCTCCACCCCCATCTCCATCTCCATCTCCATCTCCATCCCCATCTCCATCCCCATCCCCATCTCCATCTCCACCTCCATCTCCATCTCCACCTCCATCTCCATCCCCATCCCCATCCCCATCTCCATCTCCATCCCCATCTCCATCCCCATCTCCATCCCCATCTCCATCCCCATCTCCATCTCCACCTCCATCTCCATCCCCATCTCCATCCCCATCTCCATCTCCATCTCCATCCCCATCTCCATCTCCACCTCCATCCCCATCCCCATCTCCATCTCCATCTCCATTTCCACCCCACCCCACCTTATGCCATCCCATCCCCATCTCCACCCACATCCCACCCCATCTGCACCCCCTGCAGTCTGGGCACACAGCAGCAGGGCACATTGAGGGCACGGTGGGGGCTCACCTGGACGCCTCGCTCTGCAGGTTCTCCACCGAGATCACGGTGCACGGGAACACTTTGCGCTTGTGCACATGGGACAGCCCTGTGGGAGGGCAGCATGCTGGGGGACTCGGGGACAAGTCCTAAGGACAAGGGGCCTGGGGAGCCACAGGGGGTCACAAGAGCTGGGGGATGAGCTGGGATGGGGGGCCCGAGGGCTGGGTTCCCAGACTGCAGGGGCTGCTTGTGGTGGGGGTCCCGTGTCGTTTGGAGGTCTTGGTACTTGTGTGGGGAGGGGTCCTGGGGGCTGTGGGTGCTGCGTACCGGTGAGCAGATCGGTGCCCTCGGGCTGCACGGCCAGGCGGTGCTTCTGGCGCTTCCAACCCTGCTGTGCCACGAAGATCTCCTCGGATGCCTCCCCTCCATCCCCCACGCAGAAGGTCTCGCAGGCAGCCTGAGGGCGCAGGGGGTGCTGTGGGCAGGAGTCCAGCCCCACGGCCCGCTCCCCGTGGGGCACCCACTCACCTGGAAGACCAGCCTGGCCCAGGTGCGGAAGGACTCCTCCTGTGCGCACAGCTCGTCGCCCTCCCCCATGGGCAGGATGCGCTCCCCCCCCAGCTCCTCCAGCCGCGTGTCCACCGCGTGTGCGAAGGCGCAGAAGTGGGGGTACGCCCGCGACCCCAGCCCGAAGACAGAGAACCTGGGGGCCCCGGGGGCAATGAGCAGCGAGCCCCCAGCCCTGGCCCTCCGCCCTGGCTCTGGGGTGCCCATGGCCGCTGTTCTGACCCACGGTGGGCAAAGGACCCCGTCCCTGTCCGTGCCCCCATCCCATGCGTATCCATCCACTTACTATTCCCAGCCCCTCCTTATTCCCATCTCCTTTGCATCCTTATCCTCCTCCCTGTCTCCATCTCTGTTTTCATCCCTGTCCCCATCCCCATCCCATTTCCATCCCATCCCCATCCCCATTTCTCTCTCTAACCCCATCCCCATCCCATCCCCATCCCATCCCCACTCCCATCTCGCTCCCCGTGCCATCCTCAAGTCTCTCTGCACCCCCATGCCACCCGTTCCACCCCCAGCCCCGCACCGCAGAGCCCCCAGCGTCCCCGCGCTGTCCGTGTTGCTCAGCTGCCTCCTCTTCCTCTTCCAGGCTGCCACGAGCTGATCGGACTGCGAGACGCTGTTGAACCGCAGCTTGTAGCTCCTGTGGGTGTGCGGTGTGAGCAGGGCTGGGCCCCCCAGGACCCCCGGAGTCTGACCCCACTCTGTAGGGCTGGGTCTCCCCATGGCCTCGGTGCTCACTTGGGAGGCTCAGCATGTGCAGCATTGGGGGAGGACATCTCCATTAGGGCCTTGGAGAAGCTCTGTGGGGAGGAGCGTGTCATCACTCCATTGCCATTACTTTCCTGACACCAACCAATCCCATCCCATCCCATCCCATCCCACCCCACCCCATCCCATCCCATCCCATCCCATCCCATCCCATCCCACCCCATCCCACCCCATCCCCATCCCATCCCATCCCATCCCACCCCATCCCACCCCATCCCCATCCCATC